AAAGGTGATTAATCATTCTTATACCAAAGCTTTTTCGTTTTGTATAATGCTAGATAAGAAGTGGAGAATCAAAAGTAAAGAATCTCAATTTTCAGACAAAACAACCATCAGTTCTATCATTTAGGGTTTTTTAAGGATGTTTGTATACATTTTCAAATTGAAGAAGAACCCTAAAAATGTTTTTGTACCATATGAATGAAATGTTTTAGGGCTTTCATAATGAATAATCATAAATGAACGTAAAAAAAATTATCACAAACAGCTCTGATTTTGGGAAGAAAGAGGAATTCCATTGTTAAAATAGGAAAACAATTAATTTAAAGGAAAAATTAATACTTTTAAATTCACATGAATTATCTCAAATTAAGGCCAACTTTCAAAATGATGACGTGTGTTGGAACAATTTTGTCGGATTTTAGGTGATTTTTTCAATGCTAAATTTTAATTTTTTTTTTTTTCCAGAATGCATAATGAAAAAATTGCTTTGTGGGGTGTAAATATTTTAAGTAAAGCAAGCTTGATGTTCTTGAAAACAACGTTATCTGAAGCTTGTTTCAGTAAATCGTTTATTTTTTTAATCAAAGAAATAAATTATCAGTTTTACTAGAAAATCCAACGTTGATAAATCATTGATATGTCTCAATGTAAAATGTGTAAAATTGAATTAAAGCCAAAGCTCAAAAGACACAAATTTTAAAATTAGCATTTACAAAGATTAAATTTTTTTTTGGAAAAAATAATTGGAAAAGCAAATAATACCTGATATGCTTTTTACCTTCATGCCGAATGGAAGCCAGGTTCGAACATCAAGAGGGTTATTTTCATGAAATTCCTCTTCTCTTTCAAAATTTTCTTTTTTGAAATCTTTATATAAGATATTATATTGAAACAGATACAAAAAAAAACAGATGACACAAATTTGATAGCAATTAGAAGAAAACAGGTAAGAAAAATAGTAACCAAAATTATGATTGAAATTTAGTTACAATGTAGTAGGGATGGCAATCGAATACACAATTGCTAATCGGTTCACCGCAAGACGTTCCGACCGATTAACAGTTAATTTATTTCAATCTAAACTATTTTGATCTGCATATTAATTATAAATGACATATTTTTCACGTAAGTTCATTTTCCTTTTTTTCATAAATTGTGTCATTAGACAATTCAAAAATATGGCTTAAAATTAAACACTTCTTTCGATATTTTACAAACACTCCAACTTCTATAGAAAATAAAGATGTTCAATAATAAAATGAAATAAATGTGTTATGGTTTGAACACCTGTCTCCAGCATGCTTTCAAGGTAATCAGATCTTCCTCTCTTCGCTGCATCCCTTCGACGATCGTAGCGAAGTGACGAATGTAGAGGACTGTCTACAAATTTATACAACTTGGTATAACACTTCGAAGAAGAATGTCTGCACAAATATTGATTCAATTCATCATAATGACGTTGAAAGGGTTCTTTCTAATGGAGGGAATGCATAATTATTACTATTAAAGAAAAAAAATGAAAGCCAACCAAAAGTAAATAAAAATACCAAATTCCAAGTTAGAAAGAATCAACAAGATGCATTTGCGAAAGGCAAATGAGTAAACCAATTTAAACTAGGGCTAATTGTAACGGGGACCGTTACAGATGTTCCCCAAACGCTCCCCAACTCCATTTGGGTGCCGTATTCCCTGTAAGCGCTATTAAGTAAGACACACTTTATGCAATTTAGACTTAAACAACGTTTTCCCAGAAGAATACAAAATGTATTTAAATTTTAGCATTGCACGCGTGCTCATCTGAATGCATGTGCGTAATGACCACATCATCTTGTCTACACTATATATATATCTTAATATACTTAATAACAAATCAAATAATCCAGAAGTATTAGGAAATACACTCATTTAAGTGTATTTTAATATTACTCATTTCACATGCACGCACGTGCATGCACGTGCATGAGACTATACCTTCTTGTAGGAGTCTATTATGTCTGTCTATGTTCTAAATCCCATTCTGTTTGGTTAAAAAACAAGGGAGTTATAGCCATTTACAGTTTTAGCCAATAAGATTGCAGCACACGTGCATGCGCGTGTTTTCACGACAATTGTTATATATCATATTGTAGTACATCCTAAAGTATGTATATATTTTAGATTTCATAGCATTTCGTCAAAAAACAAAAAAGATATTAAGATTTTTGTTTCAGCCAATCAGAACGAAGCGCACATGCACGTACGTGCATGATGACCATACCTTCTTGTAGGAGTCTATTATATCTGTCTATGTTCTAAATCCCATCCTGTTTGGTTGAAAAATAAGGGAGTTATAGCCATTTCAAGTTTAAACCAATCAGATTGCAGCGCACGTGCATGCGTGTGTTTTCATGACAATTCTTATACATAATATTGTAGAACATCCTAAAGTATGCCTATATTTTAAATTTCATATTATTTCGTCAAAAAACAGAAAAGATATTGAGATTTTTGTTTCAGCCAATCAGAGCGAAGTGCACGTGCATGCGCGTGAGTTCGTGCTAATTTGACAGTGTCATATTATCTACACTATTAATATATCTTTATATAATGAGTTTCAAATCATTTAATTAAAAAATGTAAAAGTTATAGCGATATTAAGTATATCGGTCATTTCACTCATTTCACGCGCACGCACGTGCATGCGTATGCGCGCAAAATGACCTTCGTTCCGCACACCTACACTACACACCTATTAACCCTAAAAAGGTTTTAGCTTAGTTGGGTGAACAGTTTCTGAGAACACTCGCGGACAAAAAAGTACCGGAGAACAAAGAAGAAAAAAAAGAATAATAATAATAATAATAATAATAAGAAACCGAGTAAAAACAATATGTTCCCAAACTCCGTTTGGGGAACATAAAAATTTCTTGTAGTTGTATGCATTTTATAGTGTAAGCTTATTACATGAGAACCCGGAACGACCATTACCTCTATAATTAAACCCAGGGCCTACAGTCTTAGAAAGGTCTCCAGGAAACAAAGCCTCGTTTTGATCATGAGGATCACTTTGAGGTACATCCGCTTCCGGTTCAGTTGTTGGAGGTGTAGGCTCTTTCTTTCCAAAACAACTTAATGAGGAAAAATAATGTATAACATACAATAGGATAAATTACATGAAAATAACAAACAGTATTCAAGCCCTCAATAGTCCATAAAACAATATACGATTAAGCAGCAGAGCAATTACGGTTAGAGGTGGAATCAGGTGCCATGGAGGAGTGAGCATGCCCTGCCGACCGGTTACGAAGGTCATGTGCTCTTCGCCATGATCGAAAAACAACGGAAAATCCGTCGTCAATTCAGTATGTGAATAATGGCCTAACAATTAGTATGAAAAACAGTCAGCATTTGACTCAATGATAAATTGTATAAAATTGAAATTCAATTATTTCACTTACAAGAATATCTTTCTCATCGCTGTCTCCAGTTTGTCATACCACGGCTTGTTATCTTTTACGGTGTCGTAAAGATCCATACCACGTAAAATAACGTTATGTGACGTTATTCTCGTTTGTGACGTTATTACGTCAAACGCGCCCGACGCTTATTCTATCAAAAATGCCTGACGTCGATTTCACTTACCGTAAAAAAAAAAGGTACATTAATTTCCAAATAAAAGGCATAAATATACGATGTTCAGTTATTTTCCGGGATGCATGATCGAAGGAGAGTTTAAATTTAGATGATTCGTCAAACCGAAAGTACAACAAAGATGGCATGGAAGATTCATTGTCTCGAGTACAAGATAACTAAAAGACTTCGACAATCGGGTCGTTTTTTGTCTCTGTAAGTTGAAGAAATACAGAGTAACAAATAAATGGTTCTCTTGTCGAAAGTCATTATCGTTTGCTTACATGTTTGTACATAGGCCTAGTACATAACCATTTTCGAACCACGTACGGCTCAAGTATTCAGGTACCTAACTACTTTGCTTCAATATTCCGATTTTTAAAAGTCGTTTTTCTCTTCTCGATTGTTTGAATTAAAATATCGTCCTCTGGGGATTGACTCGGGATTTTGAAAAAAAAAAAATTGGAAAACTTTTTTTTACAATGTATATATCATATACATAAAACAGTGACTGCACAAATATAAATGTTCTGTTATTTGGTATATCCTTGCACTGAAACATAAAATAATTATTGATAAAAAAACAAACAAACAGAATATTTCATTTAAGTAGGAAAGGACATTGATACATTGCCAAAAAAAAATTCCTTAATACACACATATGCTGAAAATTTAGAAAAATTTGTTTTAAAGCTAGTGCACAATAACCTTTAGCTACCATTTGTAGTGCTTTGGGTAGTGTATTGGTGCACCTGTCATAAGACTGACAGGTGTCCTGGGTTCGATTCTCTGGAAGTTGAAAAAATACAGAGTAACAAATAAATGGTTCTCTTGTCAAAAGTCATTATCGTTTGCTTACCGGGTATATGCTTGTACGTAGTTACATAACCATTTTCGAACCTTTTGGGCCTCTTGTTATAATATGTTTGCTAAAGCCAATTTCCAAATTGATGATAAAATTACATATTTGTCATCTACGGTATATACAATATGTATAATAAATTAGAAAAACATATGTCGAACAGACCCAGGGGTCTATATCGGATGGGGAAGGGGATATTTCTGTCTTCAAGCACCCATGAATAGTATAGCGATAGATATCAGTAGCTAATAAGATAATGTGGATCCCCAGTGTACTTTTCTAGATCACAATTTTATGCATTACCATGATTACTGTAATGATGGTTAGACTTAAACCCACAAATAGCAATATGACAGTAACAAAGAAGGGAACACATGTATAAGATGATAAATAGGAATGCCTATGAGATCATAGAGGGTGATATAAAAAGGAATAAGGAAAAGGATAAAATTTCAATCAGACAATTCACAAAATCAACTCTGTTTGTTAAGCCGAGTGCTTACAATGTTATAATCATATAATCAGGTTGTTCGTGCATGGTTTAATCATGCATTAATCATTAAAAACAAAGATAACCAGTTTCAATTTAGATTTTATGGATTTATGTCAAGATTGTTGCTTTTTATTTGAATGAAAAATTATTAATACTGTCTCATAAAAGTTATGACAGTGTTTTGTTTTTCAAAAACAAATCAATTTTTCAACAGAATTTATTGCATAATTAACTTGACCCTTTGATCACCAAATCAATAAGGGTCTCTCTCGAGCCACAGAGAGTTGCTGTGTAAAATTTCAATGCAAAAGCTCAAAGGCTTCTTGAAAGTGTTACAGACAGACAGAAAGACACACGGACAGATGCACAGACCTAAATTTAGTATCCCCACTTTCAGTGAAAGGGGAGACAATTATATCAGGGGTTTTTTTTTGTTGATGTTAAACTTGGTTTATCAAGATACTTGTAAAAAAAAAAAAAGCATAACTTTCCCAGTGATTATTCAGTTCTTTCTTTTCCTACATAAATAGTTTTTGATATCATATTGAGCTTTATAATATATACACCTACACATTTATCTATTTTAACATCAATATGCACTAAGCAACACAGTTCCAAAAAGCCAGATAATGTATAGGACCAGCATGCAAAACTCATAGCAAACCATTTTCCCCCAAATGAATGAAGAGTCCTCCCCAAACTTATGAGTTAGGACTTTGTGCTGTGTCATGTAGCATGATAAAAAGCTGAAGAAGAAAAAAATCTTTTTTTTTATTTCATTATTAGAATACAATTTTAGAGAAGTATAATTGAACTGCCTAAACTCCAGTACAAGTCAAATTGAACCATCTTGGATGTCCTGATTAAATGTTTTTATTTTAGGCACAGAGCAACAGAAAGAGTTTTTTTTTTTTTAAACTAGACCATGTTCATAATGCATGTATCATTTCTCAGGTACTTTTAATATACAAGTATACATACAAATTAAATATTCAGTACTTATAATGATGTTCATCAGCTCAGACAATTACAGGTTCGAGAATCTGTGTCAAAACTCATGGAACAAATGCTCACTGGATCCATATCAAAATATCACTTTAACATAGAACATTCTATTTACTCAGGGAGTTGTTGACTTTTAAAGCATCATACCAATGACTTTTCATACCAATTTTGCATAGATCGGTTTTTCCAAGGAGGGGTCCTGCCGTCCAAGGTCACTTTTAGTACAATTCACTGTTATCTAAATGGACTTTCAGTAAGGCGGGATATTCTTGATGTTATATAATTAGCCTCTAAAATTTACACAGCTTTCAATCATTGTTGAAATATATGTGGCCAGGATAGAAATTCAGGACATACATGTATAAGAAAGAAAGATTACCGGTACGTTGTCTAATGATTGTCAACAACGATTAAAAGTACCTGATGCTATTAATTTTTTAACCAATGAAAATCTATTTGCCATTTGAAAGACACTAGTGCCGAGAATACTACAGCTTATTAAAAGTCCAAGGATGGCAGAGAATAATTGTACTGCTAGGTTAAGTATGTACATTTAATAACTCTGCAATGTCCATGGGAACACACACACTCACCACTAGATCTGCCACGAAAATTTCAATCTGAGTTGTTGTCAGTAAATTCACCCATGCATGTAAAGTACACAAATAGAAACAAATCCTAGAAAAACGTGTCGTGTGAGGACACATTACTTTATGCTTTCTTTTTGATACCAGAGTGTTTTTCATGCACGAGTAGACACAATGACAAAAACTCCGAACTCGACTTTCAGTTTTAAATTTTTAAAGAATTTTTTTGAATTTTCATTACATAAAATACCTTGATCAAGGTATTTTAAATATCTTGATAAAGCTATACCTTTATCGGGGTATTGTGCTGGACCTGTTATGTACGGAAAACCTCGATCATTCAGTGTCCCTAGCTTAAGAAGGGGATCTCTGCCTTCCAAGGATATGATCGCCTATAAGCACGGTGTTTATATTGTTTAAACAAACAAACATTACAAAGTGGAAACACTGAACATATTCATCACTGCGTACATTAATTTTATCTATTTGTATATGGTATATGGCCGAAGCATTTCCTGAGATCAGAAACCAGACGTTAAAAAGATGTGGCAAACAAACCACTTATTTGTATCTATGAATAGCGAAAAATGTATTACATAGACACAAAAAGTAGTAAAACGTGCCACTTCTCTAAATTTTTAATCAAATAAATCGCATCCAAACGACCAATGTAGAAACTGAAAGTATTTTCTTCTTTCACTTCCGTCATAACGTCACACATGCGCATGAACGGTTTATAGAATATTCCGAAGATTGAACCCGATTACTATTATGCTTGTGAATCGTGAAAACGAATTTTTGGCCGTCTATGCATTAAATATTCAACTTATGATTTAAACCATACTTATTACTGTTCTATTATCGATAGTTTTAAATATTTAAAGCGATTTTTACATCCAAATCCTAAAAGTATAGATGTTAAATAGATTTTTCAAATTATCATTTTTCAGCAAATTTGGTATAAAAATGTGAAATTTTCTTGTTTGATGCCCGCTGCCCCACTTAATTTTTATGCCATATAAGGGAGAGAACATTGGAAAATAACGTGTTAATTTTAAAAAGAAATCTGTAGTTAGAATATCAAGCAGCAATTTATTTTTTACCAGAAATGAACTTTATAATTTTGAGCTAAATATGTTGAATTCGCCCTAAAAAGTACAATTAAATGGATCAGCAGATGTAAAAATTAATTAAACCGTTAAACAAGCATATCCTCTCTACAATTCATATGTTAAATATTTTTATTTGCCTTTAATTTTAAAAAGCTAGCATATATTACTCAATTCCTTCATTTTTGTAATTTCTCGAGACAATGTCTATTTTTAGTAACAGTCCTAACAAAAGGAGGCCCGGTTGACCTAAAAATTTACGCAGATATGAAAAGGACAAATACTTAATTCAAATTCTGAGAAGTTTAAACAAAATCTGTAGCTTCGTTATTCTTGTAGCATGGTATGGATCTTTACCTTAAAACCACTCTAACATCAGATATAAGTACAAACCCCAGGAACGGTCCGTGATGTTAACGACACTGTAAATGTTCAATACCAGGTACCCGGATGGTAAACAAAGAAGATACGTGAATCCATGTAGGAGACATGCGATTTCTGTTGGATGAAACGCTCCACTGACCAGGAATATGGCGATTAAAAGACCAAGATACAAGGTCACAACGGACACCGGGACATCATCACTAATGGCTAGAATAAAGTATGTAGAAATGATACAATCATCACTAATGGCTAGAACAAAGTATGTAGAAATGATACAATCATCACTAATGGCTAGAACAAAGTATGTAGAAATGATACAATCATCACTAATGGCTAGAACAAAGTATGTAGAAATGATACAATCATCACTAATGGCTAGAACAAAGTGTGTAGAAATGATACAATCAGATACTGATTTTAATTTTTCGTATATTTATGCATATTTCGTTTAAAGGATTAGATTACTTGAGTCCTGAAAAGTCTCTGAGAATTTTCTTGAATATAACAATCATCTTGGTTTCAGAGCTTTTTTGTTTACTAGTATTTTACAAAATAAAAAAAAAATAATTATTTGTCCCTGCAAAAAGAACAACCAATTAGGGTGAATTCACCTTGGATCGGATATCATTTTAAAAGAATAACAAAACTAGGTACGTACAATACAATAGTTTTCTTGCTAGGTAATACTAGGTATAAAAGCTATTAATGACATTTTGGACAAATAAGTGCCAGATATCTCAAATTATATGGAAAAATAGAACAGTTTTTTTTTTCTCTTTAGATTGAAATCATACCTCCTGGACCAACAGTCGGTTGTATGGTAACGGTTTTGCCGTCTTTGGTTTCGACCTTCACCTTGTCGTTAAGACTTATAAGATCCTCTGCCACCTGCTCTGCAATCCCCACTACCACTGCTGTCATGACAACCGCGTACAGGAAAGTGATGACTTTACCAAACTGCAATGTTATGTAAAATATTAAGATAGTACTTTTGAAATAACCATCAACCACCCTGTCATAAAGAAGGAATAAAATATAATACTATATGTACTCGTTGGAGTTTAACTTTCAGTCATACAAAAATATCATTTTTGCAATAATTCTTCGTAACTTATAATTTTTATGCATGTTAAAACAAGTCAAAATGCACTTAATCATTGTTATATATAAATTATTCATACATGACTTTACTTCATTATACATATACATTCTTGAGATTCGGAGAGTCGGTAAGAACCTTCAACACGTCTACTTAGCAATGAAACCGTCCATGCAGTGCAAAGTATTTCAAAACTTATTTCTCAAGAAAACGTGAAAAGAAATAAGGAAACTTCCTGGAATTTTCTGTTTCGCAATTTTTCTCTGCAAGAATTCTACCTGCATTTGCCACTTTTCCTTCTTGTACAGACAGATTAAGGCATAAATCACACAGACAACGATTTGTAGTACCACTGCCAAGATCAAGTCAACATTCCAAGCGTAATTCAAGCCACCTACAATATGAAAATAGGAAAATTACTTACTTTGGGATTTCATTTTTTAAAAACCTTTATTAAGATTAACGATAGCTCAATTTAACAACAAAAAACTGAAAATTTTATTGATATCTAACTGACAGGAGATGAAAGATTTTTTAATTATTAAAGTGTTGATAAAGTTTATGATGTTAATGATACATGTACTCATATTCATTATTATAAGAATAAAGATATTGATGTCAATGATAATTTCAATACTGACTTTATTGATACTGATTATTACATAAGGACGTTGTTTTTCAATTCTTTTGATGATGTTGTTCATGATGATAATGTGTTGAGAGTGATGATCAAATATACTGACACGCAAAAGAAACGCAACATCCTACTTTAGGGGGAAATAATTATGTAAAGTAAAAAAAATTGTACCTTAAAATTATGGATATCTTCACTTTCGTAAACACCGGTAATTTAATGGTTGAACGATTTTCATACCATAACCGGAAGTCAAGTTTGAGTCTGCTTAACAAAAATCAAAAATTGCATGTTTAACAAAACATTTGGCAATATTATGGAGTTTTAAGGGTTTTAACTGTTCATCATAAGTAATCGACAATATTTCAAAAAATAAACTCTCCTTTCGTTTCCCGTAATGATGCTAAGGCTTCTTGAAAATGGCTTAAGTACGCATTTCCATTGCTCTAGCTGGAAAATTTCAATGCAAAGGTGATGGAGAGTTGCTGGTGCAAAAACTCGCAACAATACGCCTCAAAAGAGTCTTACGTATCATATTCATTCAGGACAGTCCTTGTACCGGAAGTCCAGGGGTGGCTACACTGCTCTAAGTTAGAGAAAATTCGACCGAATCATCTGAAATACAGGCATTTAAAAATGGCAAAGAATAATTCCTTCGCTCAGATCTCCATATTGATGAACCTATTGTATCGTAGAAATTAAGCTGCAATTGTTGTTTAGGCCAGTCTTGCACGTTTTCTTGAATGGCTGGGAGGGGGAGTGTTTTAACAGTCATGTGTTACTTAGTAAATTAAAAAGATAAACATTTAAATTTTTTATCAAATCTCTGATGTTCTGAAAGTGAGTTTAGCTTTAATTTACTGTATTCATTTTTGAAAATCATAAGATAAAAAAATCAAGCATTGGTAGATTACTGCTTGTTGCGTTTCTTTTGCGTGTCAGTATAATAATGCTTATTACATCAGAATGTTGATTTTGATGATGTTGATATTTGAAGATGATGATGTAAATTGTTGATGTTGATGATAATGATAATATGATGATAATGATGATCAAATAATGATGCTAATTACATAAGAATGTTGCTTTTGATGATGTTGATTTCTGTTTTGTGGGTTAATCCCTCATAACTTGGCTTATTTACGTTTAATATGTTTGATGTTGATATTGACGATGATGAAGTTTATTGTTATATGATGATAATGATGAACAGATGATGTTACTTCACCTGCTACTATGATTATTACAGTACTTGGACCAATAACTGTGGATACGAGGAGAAACATCTGATATATACAGAAGAGAAATGGCACGCGATGGTTGAGGGATCGAATCAGATTCCACTCCTCGATCAGAGAGATGATATTAGCCAATGTAGAAGCGATCCACCTCCTCCTCTGTTTATAAAACTCCTCAAACTCATCAGGACAGTAGGTTTCATTCTTTGAGGCTGCGCAGTACTCGATTCGCCAACCACTCTGTACCTACAATAGCCATAAAATTTATACATCTAAAGATTAGAACTTCCGAATACGTTTGTCTAGTTATATATAGACGTACTGACCCATACTTTGTTTTAAATATACTAAAAATGTATATTTGTTTATCCATGAAAGATTTCCAAACTCTTAAAAAACAGTATGCTTTAAAACCACTACTTTTCGTTGGCATCTAAATAATCATTGCTTCGAGCTGATATTCAACAACATGAAAAATTTAATACCTATAATTGATTTATCATTTTTCATCCACGAATTAAATGCAAAACAACGAAAATTTTGTCCCTCAAAAATATGTGATTTTATGATACATGTCTGGGATAACAATCAATAAGTATTTTGTTTATATTCTTTTCCGAATTCATGCATAAATACTATTAAGAATGCTTCCTCGTGTGACCATTACCATGAGCGTGCACAACCAGCGATCCTCTCCCATGTCTTTGATGAGGAACTCAAAGGCTCTCTCAACATCAGAGGCATAATTGGGGAGGATACTCTTAATGGCAGAGCAGCGATAAACACTGAAACAGCCCGGGGCACAAAGAACGGAGCCGAGAACATGTTCAGCGGCCTGAAAAAAGACAAATTAACCATCATCACCATAACAGACAATTCATCCATTAACGCCATCTTTACATAAAAAAGACTGAACAAAACAAATTGACAAATGTAAAACAGAAGTTTTTCGGGTATATTTATGTACAGAAAAATAAATTATCTTCAAAACATTTCCTAAATCAATAGGAAAGATACAAGGAATTCCACTTAAAAACTGCTAAAGTTGATAATTTAAAAGAAAAGCACCTTTTGAAACCAGTGTCCAATAGCATACTCAAATTTTTGATACCAAACAAGCGGACCCTTTCCTATTGGGTAGGTGCGCGCGCACACGGCTCCAACAGAAGAGTCCCGTTTCATGAAGTCAAGCAGCGCCTCGACCGATTCCGGAGTAAACTTGACGTCAGCATCCGTTGTAAGAATGTAACAGTCGGACTCGCTCACTGAAAGGAAGTTCAAGACAGGGTAGTATTTTAACACGTCATGCTGTCTAATTTTATTCAGACGCTAATAATATTAGTGCATAGGGGAGCTTGGAATACAAGTAAGACGTCTGTGTGATTGTAAATTTCAATTTGATTGAACTTTATGAATGAAGATAGATTTCTTTTCTTAAGGATAAATGATACAATGGTCGATATAATGACCTTGTCAGCAAATTCAATTTATCGAGTCAAATGCTGACGGACGTTTTTCATACTAATTGCCAGTCCATTATTCATATACTGAATTGACGACGGATTTGTTGTTATTTCCCGATCATGACAAGGAGTACACGGCGGGAGTGACCGGTCAGGGGATACTCACTCCTCCATGACACCTGATCCCTCATGGCTCTGCTCCTGTTTTGTATTGTTTCATGGACTTTGTTATTGAATACGGTTCGTTATCTCCATATCCTTCATGATACCAAAAAAAAAATGATGCCTCGATTGATATATAATTTAAAACTTTTTTTATTTCTAAATGATCCAAATAACAAAAGTCTTAAATATAAGGAAGGTTTCTATGATGTTCAAACGTCTACCCTTTTCTCTTTCTTTTTGCTTCATGTGTACTATTGACGAAATTTTTGAACATCGTCTATTTATTGCATGATAGTGAGGGAGACGTGAAAATTTCTTCAACCGATGAAAAATCATATTCCTCGAAGGCAACGCTCGAATATACTCATAATTAATTTGGTTGGTTGGAGCTTTTGGGATGATAACCGTTCGTAAAGATTAACTTTAAATTTATCAATGTTTATGTGTTTCCTTAAGATTCTATTTTCCATAGTTCCATGTACCCATGTGTTGTTGAAACATAAGATGCCAGGCGTACCTGTACAATTACTCTCTCCGTCCAGGTGTTGCTTACGAAGAAAATCCAGGACATATGACATGTACATAATCTGACTCCAGCGTTTCTTCTTTTTCACCTTATACAAGGTAAGACAAATGATATCAGTAAATTAGGTACTGTTGTTTGTTATTTATTTGTAGAATGCTTTGTTACAAGTCACAAAGGGATATATTCGAATCCACAAAGGAGTCAACTTTACATCAATAATTACATTAAACTTGAATCCAAATATGATGAGAATGCATAACTAGGTGTTCCTTAAAAAAAATTTAAAACCTCTTTTTTTTGCCTAAATACTTCCTTTAGGTTTGGTTGTATATTGTTTAACGTCCCATTTTCACTCATATGGAGACGCCCTTTTAGGTAGGGAATCTACATGAACCAAATTTTGGGAAACTTTTAACTTAATCAAAATTCAGTCCACCGAAGTTAAGAATAATTGAATATGCAGACGATTAATTAGCGCGGCGCTACTCTTAAAATATTTTATTTTTAAATACTCCATTTATTCCTACATGGAACTTTGAACCTTTATTATGACTTACTTTCTTCGGATCTTTCATATGAATAATGAAAGTCATTTTCGATGGCCCCGGTAGTTTCCAGCCAAACTTTAATCCGTAAGGTGTCGAAGTCTTCGTGCAGGTTTTAAGGTCATCAATATCTGCAAACAAACATATACTAGCATTAGATTCTGAATCTTAATGAGAACATATCTTTAGCAAAGTCCAATATACAGGTTAGGGGTTAGGATTGGGTAAAAAAAAAACTCATCAGCACGTGTGAATCAACTACAGTTAAATGCCTTCCAATCCAAATTAAACCCTCCCTTTCCCGCCCCCCCTCTCTTTCCCAGTATGTCATTCTCCCTGTCTTTCTCTTTCTATATGACTCCTTGTCAGTATTTTTCTGTCTGCCTACCCAAATGTCTCTCTATATCTCTTACTTATATATATCTCTATATACTAGTATATCTCATATCTTACTTAGTGCGTCCTTTAAAAGGCTGAGTAGCTGTAGTGCGTAATCCGTCATCTCCTCCCCTTTGATGGCCCCGTCTAGAAACACGTGAGATTCAAAGTGGATCTGCGATTTGTCTGATGTGGCCTGACTTATATTCCGGATAGACTCCAGCAACTGTTGCATTTCATAACGACTCTGTAATATCAATAAACAGAAAACGGTGTAGCAACCACCGAGGAATGGCTTATTACTGACAATTTTGAAGATGAAGGTTCCAATCCCCTACAATTATCCTGTGCATTATTTTTTACTAAACAATATCCCATCCATATTTTTTATTTTTTTACGGGTAAGGTAGATTTGATCTCGATCATCGAGACCATTGTAATTAAATAATTAAAGGCCATTCGTAACTCACATGAAGACAAAAACGCAACATAAATGTACACAAAATACGCAACGTACATGTGCACAAAATATGCAACGTCCCTTTAACTTTACCATTGATAATTTTCTAAGATACTCTTAATTGTTTTACAAGATATATAATCGAACAAGTAAAGTAATAAATATCCTCGCATTTTTGAAAAAATAAAAAAAAATTAATGGATATTTTGATTTAGAGGATATTAACAGTATTACTAATCATATTATAGCATTCTAAAGTCTCTCAATAATATATAGATGTTTTTTTTTTTCAATTATACAGGGAATAAAAAAATGAAAATCAAAACAACGCTACGTATATTTAACACAAAATATGTTACCTCACGATACATGGTTGTGCATATGTAAACCCTCGTTTTCTCTGTGTTTCTGTTTATCTGGTTTGATTCCTCTTCCATGTCATCGTTGAGTTTTCGGTTGAGCAGTAACCATTGTTCCAACATTACACTGTTATATGTTGGGTGCCAAAACAACTGAAAAAAATAATCCAAAAATTTTTAGTTGCTTTCATATAAAACAGTTTATCAAAAATAACATTCAAGGGTTAATCCAAAGTAATGTCACAACTGCTATAAAATCAGAAACAATCAAAAGTTTTTATCGAGATATTTGTACCTGTATCTCCTTTTGTAGTACAATATTCTGGACATTCCACAACAGTCGACCAAACGTTAGAGAAATTGCAATACAAAAACACAACATCGCTATCAGGCTGTAAATTAGTGAACTATCCTTAACACAGAAATCTGGGGAATGACCCGAAAAGTCCCGAATCCACTCACATGATCTTGCAACAGCAAGTATGATATACGCAATAGGAGAGGATAATATCAGAGGTATTACGAAGGACCCACGGTCCATGCAGGTGTGACAAGCAAACACTGCTATTGCGTATCCAACAATACTAGTGGTGGTGTGGACTATAAATAGAACAAAAACGTCATCTGATGTGTTCCAGTTCCAACCCTGTGTCCAACCGTTATCAAAACTGAAGTCGTCCATAGCAAACTTAATTAGAAGAGCACTAGAAGCTAAAGTGAAGACTATTTTTATAAATGCAGATATAAACAATACTTTCCATGGTGAAGTCTTATCACAAAGATGACTGCTAATCCCAGATGTATTAGCTGTCGAATTGTAAGATGTTAAGTTTGAAGCCGATGAAACACCTGGCAGAGAAGCCGATGAATGTGTTCGATTGATAGAGATGGGAGACGACGTTTGAATATTTATATTAGGAGGAGCCTGAACTTTGGTCATTACTCGGGGAAATAAATTTCTATTCAAATATGGAAACCATGACAAATAAACAAGCAAATATCCGCAAAGAGACCACGTATCTGCCGCATATTTAACATGTAATAGTATGTCAAAGGAAGCACCAGCGATAGCAAATAAAACAGCCATCACAGAAAGGCCACGGAAGAGTTTGATATGAAGATTGTTCTTCTTTATAAAGTAAAAAATAGGGAGAAAGATTCCAATTTCCATCGTAGTGACCCCTGAAGCTCCCTGTCCTGTGTTCAAGGCCTTGAATATCACTAAAGACAACCCAACTGATTCTAATGCTGCCAATATGATAATCTGAAAAATAAACATAAAAACAAGTATACATGTGTGTTATGCATTCTTATACTTGTTTTTCCAATAAAAAGTATATTTCATGACATTTCAGACAGATGGGAATCATAAACTAGCTGCATTAATTTAAGGTTTCGTCAAAGGTCAACATGTCTAAAAAAAAATATTTTTACAATAGCTCCAAAACTATGTGTGGTATAAATTCAAAACGTTTACAGTTTATAAATATATCATTGATTAATAGATAGAAAGTATAACTTGATAACAAATATTTTTAAAAAAGATAATTTTTGAGAAAAATTGTATCAGAAAATGTGCATATTTAAGGAAAAATGCACCTGCTTAATTCTGTCTTCTTTGTGAAAATCAACATTGTAGAAATAATATATGTTTCTTATTGAAGGATAAGTTGGACGTGAATGATCTATGAAATGCTGTTATTTAAAGCATGACATGTATAAAGGCAAGACCCCTATAGAATCCACCATTTGCAATGTACTTTCACTTTCAAATTATAACATTTGGACAAAATAAACAGGGACAACAACTCTCCAGAGGCTATCCAAGTCCAACTTGCCCTTTATTGATAAACATATTTTGTTTCTGCAATGATGGTTTTCACCAAGAGCACGGAATTATTTAGGTGTATTTTTTTGAAAATATATGCATTTTTAAGAATAATTTTTCTCAATTAATATTACTCCAAGTATTTTTTTATCTAGTGATTCTATCTGTTAATCAATGAAAAATTTATAAACTGTAAAAGTTTTAACTTTATACCTCACATAGTTTTGGGGCTATTGTAAAAAAAAAAATTGGACATGTTGACCTTTGACGAAACCTTAACAAAACCTTTTTCAAGCCTTTGCTTTATTTCCGGTGGGAACTAGTTTGACATACTAGTAGTTCCTGGCTCTAATGACTTGATACATAATTTTCTGAACCTTTTACTCCAGAAATGTCTAGCTATCTACTCACATCTAGAAAGATGAGACGCCTTGCCGCCAAAAAAATAGTATATAAAAAAAATAAGTAAAACCTTATATTTATCAGTCCTCTGTTATCATATGAACGTTGGTAAAAATACGTCCACACAAACCATGAAACTTACCAGATTTTTTATTCGGCCATGGGATGTCACTGCGTCCAATAATATTCCACAGCGATCTTAAAAAAGCTATCGCATTAGGGGCCAGAAGTGTGATAAGACACATTGTGAAGACCTGGTATTTAGAAGTACTGCTTTCACTAAGGTGTTGAGCTAAACCAATCACGGTTACTTTACTGGTCACCAAACACGATAATAAGACCGTAGCAAATGTTAAAGTCGTTAGCCACTTAAGAATTACAACAATTCTAGATGGTCCTTGTGATTTCTTTTCTTTCTTAGATCGATCTATTATTGACTCTGTTTTAACAGTCAGGTCGGAAATGTCAGTCTCGATCGTTTCTTTCACTTCTGTTTCTTCTTCTATTGACGCCATACTTAGTCCCTTCAATCGTCAAATCTTCTAAGAAAACTAGAATATTTCAGAAAATATTGTTACATAAAGATTCATTATTCTGCCTTTTTACACAATACGTAAGTATGTTCTATTAAATGAATTGTTTTAAATGTATTCTTCACTCAATATTTAAATTCAATTCAAATAGAAAAGAAGAAACATAAAACTGACATAATCATGAAAGCTTCTAATGTATACTATAATATACTACAGTACGTTAGATTTTTCATTACCTGCGCAATATCATCAAATCGATAAAATAAATATCATTTTTTAAGTTTCCTGGCCCCAAGACCATCGGCTGAAAACAGATTCAGTCAAGATTAAAAATAAAAAAACTGTTGAAATAAATTCGATATCTAAATAAAGCTTTTCACCCCATGTTTGATTTAGAATATTATACAATTTTGATAAGGTATGTGTTTTAAATGGCAGGTCATTCAAAATCAAAATTTTGACCTTAGTTTGTTCACAGTTTATGGTATCCGGGGCTGATCGTCAATTTTATATTGTAGTGGACGATATCATTTGAAGTATTAATTTTCGCACTATAAGGGTTCTTGACAAGGTCAATGATATAATACATTGCATTAAAATTAGATATTTAACAGACCTGCCTATCCTTTTCATTGCAAGGGTGTAATTTCAAAATTTTTTGGGTGGAATTTCAGAGGTAAAAGCGTAATCAATCATGTTTTCCTATTTCGTTGTTTTACTATAATACTTTTTTCTTTCAAAACCACCAAAATTGTATATTACTAAACAAAGCTGGCATAAACTTTTCTTTTTTGAATCATCTATTGGCAAAAAAAGTGTTGTAAAATACCAGTATCCTATATTAAACTCTAATCAATCGCACACTTTTAATGAAACATTTGGTCAATTTGTATCAAATCCCTTAATTGAAGGCTTGCGTTTGCATGTTTATTGTTTACACAAATCGTACATAATAACATAGTACTTTATCTTTTTTACACTCATATTTCTCTTGTTCAAAGCAATGTTAATATGAACTAAATTGGGAATAGAAATGGGTGTACTCATTGCAATATAATTTAACAGTTAACATAAGTAGTGCCTTCTCGTGTTCTTTCGAATCTTCGCCATATCGGTTTACATATAACTACTAGATATATTACGTTAGCTATCGAACTGGTCCTTTATTAATTACTTTTACTAGAACTTCTCATTTCATTTCAGCAGGTCGTACTTTGACTCTAAATTAAGACGTTCATAGTGATTTAAACCAAAATATCAAAAGCGTAAAATTAATATCAGTGGCGTAATAGCGTAATTTTGTGGTAAAAAGCGGTAGAATTACGCCAAAAGCGGAAGGGTGGGCAGGTCTGATTTAACTGATTTAAGGGCATAACTGTCTTTTCCTTTGTTATTTGCGATCATTAATTTCTTACTTAATGGATGAAAACTAAGATTTACTGGCAAAACCTAAGGCGGATCTTTGCAACTGATATATCCTGATTAATAAATGATAGCCATTCAATAGCAAATTATTATAATACATGCAAAATCTTAAGTTTCTCGTGGACTAGAGGATATCTACAAGTGTTTGAAAAATCCATAAGTAATCAACACATTTTGTCATTTTTCTTTCCAATACATTTGACCATAACACTGCCCTCTTATGACAGAGAGCGATGGTTTGTCTAGTCGAAACAGACGTTAAACAAATATTTTAGAAATATGTGTAGTTTTACTGAAAAAGATTTCTAAAGGTAGCGATCTAAGCAGATATTGTATTAGTAAAACTAGTAGCTGGAAGAAATTCTTACATTATTTTCACTGGATATCCCATTTGCCCCATGATGACAAAGAGCATATGGAGAGTGTGACTGGTCGACAGGGGTGGTATACTCCATCGCACCTGATCTCATCTCTGATATTGTGAGAGGTCCGAGTTTGCCCTGCCCCAAATTCGTATTTTTTCAGTGAGCTTTTGAAAAAGCTTGATTTCTGTTCGTTATCTTCTTATTTTACAACATTTTTTTTTTAATTTTATGTTACATGACTGTATTGTTTGACGTTTGCCACTTTCCATTTCAATAAACTTCATTCGTTTTATGGTGCATAAATAAGGTTGTGCTGCAAATGTAATGCTTATATAGATGAGATACATATGAAGAAGGAAAGTGAAAGAGATGTCCATATATATAAATGGAATAGACATGCTATTCTTATAATCTATCACCTAGAAGAGAAATGAGATTCAATTCCTTTGAAGATGGACAAAGTGTCAACCAAAAGAAATTCAGTCTCTCATGACATTTAAGTCACAAAATGTTTTATTTAATACAATAAATATAAACAAAATCTGTTGTATTTTTGTTATATTATTTAAACTTTCTGCTGTTCATATTCATTTTCCTGATGATATATTTCTTTTTATGAGATTAGAATTTATTTTAAAAGGTGAACGACTTCAAAGATGTGCATTTACATTTTTATTATGCACAAAAGAAATGCTGAATGTTGAACAAAACAGTTTAAACATCATGAGAAAGAAATAATCATGAGGAAAATGAAACAAAAAACACACAAAACCCGTTGTAACTTACCGTACTCGTTTTTCTATTGAGCTACATATACAGGGTACTCTGTACCTTTAATCTCTACGTTTACAGTTAAATCGTTGTATATCCTGATTAACTAAAAATGTCCCATCCAATGTAATTTAATAAATGATAAAAATAAATATTTATCTATGGATACATTCTAGGTCATGATACAAGTTTCAGCATACTATTTGTTACTTTTATTTGCTCATGTGTTTTTAAACTAGATGATAAACGATAAGCTATCATAGTTAACATTTGCTTTATTACGGGACAAGAGCGTTCAGAAGTCAAGTTTTCTTTCAAAAATTTTGGTACAAATGTTTTAAAAATCTACATATAATTAGAATATAATTATGTATCTGAAAAATTGTTAATGACGCGGTTAAGACAATTCTCGTTTTTATTAATATGTAGTACAAATACACTCTTTTAAATTGATATTAAATTACTAATAAAAAATAAAATCAATAATTAAATAAATAATGAATGGGCAGTAATACTTTATGGTGCACTACAGACACATTTTACAAGATAAAAAAGTGTTTTGCTTTTAAACAATGCGACTCTTATCTGGTTTTTCTGGAGTATAGTTTTGATACTCTTTATTTAAACATAACAAAATTGCCACTTTTCGATAGTATTAAGAATGAAATTAAAACTAAATTGATATGTTTAAATGTTAAAAGTACAAGGATGTGTCAATCAAACCTGCCTAGAATTTCGAAATTTCGAGATGAAGTTTTTATTATCTTTTCGTGTGAAATGCTATTGCAATATGAAAGTCGTGACATTATACAGAAAATTTGAGAAAATATTAAATCTGTTCTTTCTTTCACAAAAGGAAGTTTTCGGACTTCCACGTTTACATAAGGGAAAATCTTTTACATTTTTGTGACTTTGCCAAGGTCTTTAACCTCTGATACAAAGGATTTTATCTACAGTAAGCTAACGAAATATGATACTGAGGGTAATATTTATCTATTGCTAAAGAAGTTATCTAGTAAAGAGAACGAAGGGTGATGTAAAGAAAAAAATGTTAGAGGGTAATCCAACCCATCGGAAATTAACATGCTTTATAATGACTGATCCTATCTTTTTTTTCAAATTCTTTATCTTCAGATGAAATGGAATTAATTCAGATGCCGTGTCGCAGTAGGTACTGGTACGAAAGAGTTTCTGGTTCTGCTCAATGAAAATTTGCAGGTCTCAACCGGCAAGTGGTGATGTCTCCATATCAGTGAAAAATTCTTGAGAAGGACGTTAACATATATTCGATCAATCAAAAGCATTTGATTCAATCGAACATTGGAAAAATTCAATTTGGTGAAAATCTTATTCACAAATCCTTAATTCCCTATAAAATAATGGGTGGATTTAGAGACAGTGGAAAATGAAAAGGGAATACGGCAAGGATGCACGGTAAAAAGTATGGGGATAAGAAAAAGTATTCAAGATCAAAAGTTTTTAAGCAATACAAACTAGGAGCAGAGCAAACACAGACCTTCAAAACATCAGAGGTGGGATCAGTTGCCACGGAGGAGTGGGCATCCCTTACTGACTGTCACACCCTCCATGTGCTTCTTAATCATGATTGGGAAATAACGGAAAATCGGACGTCGATTCAGTATATAAATAACGGACTAACAATTACAGTAAATCTCGGTTATTACGAAATCAATGGGACCTATAAAATTACTTCGCTATATACGTAATTTGTAATATTCGTATAAAGAATTAGTTAAATTTATACAGATGGGAATCCAAGATAACTTCTCTCTCTGTGAATTTGATCCGTGTTCATAGTAAATGAGTTTGCTGTAGTATGAAAACGTAGGTAAACATTTGACTCAATGATAAATTATATTTGCTGACAAGGTCATTGTATTGACCATAGAACTTACTTTTAGAAATTGTTCATAGAGCAATTTCTTATGAAAGTTGTAAGAAAATTTTTAAGATATAATACTACAGAGGAGATCAATTCAGGAAAATTCGCCATTTTATTAAAAACAAAACATTAAAAACAATTCATGCATAAGAATTGTGCAGATCTCTAATTAATAGCAGACCATTGAATAAATCTGGGTGAAATTAGGAATTGCTAACGTCAATTAAACTTGAGCAGTAAGGTATACGTACGTCAAGTGCACAATGTTTTTTTCGATATTGTCGACATCACTGTAAAAAAAATCTCCCTAATATCATATTAACATATTCAACATGACAATGCTTGATACGGAAACGTATAACTGTATTAGAACACGTTATTATGATATAAAAATGTTGTCAAATACAATTACTTCAAGGTTTAGCGATTTAATTATGAAAACAATCTCTGATGAATAATACTTTTCTGATGTATTTTAGACGTCTATTACACTTTGATATACCCAAATTGAATCTCTA